CAGCATCTGAAGTGAAGCGGGCGCTGTACAGGTCTGTCGTGGTGAAGACAGAGCTGAGTCAAAAGGCGAAGCTCTCAATTTACCGATCGATCTACGTTCCCACCCTCATCTATGGTCACGAGCTTTGGGTTGTGACCGAAAGAATGAGATCTCGGATACAAGCGGCCGAAATGAGTTTTCTCCGCAGGGTGTCTGGGCTCTCCCTTAGAGACAGGGTGAGAAGCTCGATCATCCGGGAGGGACTCGGAGTAGAGCCGCTGCTTCTCCATGTCGAGAGGAGCCAGTTGAGGTGGCTTGGGCATCTGTTTAGGATGCCTTCTGGACGCCTCCCTGGTGAGGTGTTCCGGACACGTCCCACCGGAAGGAGGCCCAGAGGAAGACCCAGGACACGCTGGAGGGACTATGTTTCTCGGCTGGCCTGGGAACGCCTCGGGATTCCCCCGGAAGAGCTGGCCCAAGTGGCTGGGGAGAGGGAAGTCTGGGCCTCCCTACTTAGGCTGCTACCCCCGCGACCCGACCCCGGATAAGCGGAAGAAAATGGATGGATGGATGGATCCTGTCTAACCCTGAATGTTAGGAAACGCCTTGTAACTGTGACTTTCCTTCCCTCCATTGATTACGGTGACATTATTTACATGAACGCTCCTACAAGAACCCTGCAGATGTTGGATGCTGCAGATGTTGGATGCTGTCTATCATGGTGCACTAAGATTCATAACTGGCTGTGATTATCGTACCCACCACTGCACCCAGTATTCACTGGTTAACTGGTCACCATTAACTTCACACAGACTCTCTCACTGGTACATTTTCATCTTTAAATCACTTCTTGGTCTGTTGCCTTCATACATCTCCTCCTACATGTCTCTGCATGAGTGCAGCTATGGCGTGCGCTCTCAGGACATTATTACCTGCAGTGTCCCCTCAGTGAGGACTGAACTTGGCAAAAGGGCCTTCTCCTACTCCGCTCCTGTTTCCTGGAATATCTTAAAAAAAAAAGATCTGAAGCTCTCGACCTTGAATCAGAATCAAAATAAACTTTATTGGCATTGCACCGAGATACAACGCGAATATGTACGTACAGTCGTCCGAAGATGGGCGGAGTGCACGAAGCTGCGGCTAAAATAATCATCGCGGCCTTCTTATTCTTATTCAGAATAATATTTTTGACCTCTCTAAGTGGCTTTAAGAATCTGTTGGACTCCTGGCAGGGACCAATGCAGACATGTTCCTGTTTTTAGTTTTCTACATTCGCCTTAGAATCTAGCTGGGGGTTTTTTTAGGGGTTTTTTTTTACCTTTTTTTAGCTATCCTATTTGTTAAAAAAAATAAATGAACTGGAGTATGACTTTTTACAACTGTCTATTGTTGTCACTGTTTTCCATTGTTGTCATCTTTCTTTGTTAAATCAGGGCTCTCTTGTAAATGAGTCCTCGAGGCTCAATGGGATTTACCTGTCTAAATAAAGGTTGATTGAAAAATAAAATAAAAGAAAGATCAAACATTAAAAACACAAGTATAATAAAAAGGCTAAGAACAAACTAAAACAAGAAAATAACAATCTCATAGGTTCCGATGGAACTCAAACCAAACTTGAATTAAAAGAAGAGTTTTGAGGTGGTATTTAAAGGACTGTACAGACCCTGCACAACGAATATTAATGGGCAGAGCGCTCCAGAGTCTGGAGGCCCCATCCCCTCTGTGCTTTAATTTAGCCCTCCGCTGAACTAGAAGCATCCGACTGAAGGAGCTCAGTTTGGGTTGTCAAAGTACAAAATATCCATCCATCCATTATCTTTACCCACTTCCATAAAATAAAAAAATGACATGACTGAAAAAAAATAGAATATTTACTCAAATATTTTACACTTACCTTTTTTTTCTAGAACCTAATAATGGAGACCACTTCTGGTATTTACAAAACTTCAGCAGGGTTTAAAGCTAAAAGCCTTCAGCAGAAATGTTGACGTGTGCAGCTGTGTTGCTGTGTTCATGCGTGCTCAGCTGCTCACACACACACATGTTCGTGCTGCTGTTTGACATGTTTTTATGCTACTAGAGCTTAGTGTATATTTAGTTGATGTTTTTCTTAGTTCATATCTTAGATCTTATTACTGTTTTTCTTTTACATTTGATTGTGGGATGTAACTGGGACCCTGTGTACATAATTTTGTTCCACCACATGTACCACATGAGGTGCGAATGACAAATAAAGCTCTCTGACTATGGCTACTGCCTGGAACTCCAAGATCTTCTGTTTTCCTCCATAAAGCACAACATGAATTCCTTTTGTCAAACTGTGATAGACTTTTTTGAGAGAAAATTAGTTGCACAGGCGTTTTTGAGCGTTTCAAACTCAAACAACAGGACTGCGCACCTAAAGTGAGAAAATTGAGAACTACTACAAACATCACAAGACATTCAGGCGACTCCTTCATGAATGCTGTTGCCTACTAGCATCCCAGTGAGATACTACCCCCCCACCCACCCACACCTGCTGTTTCACTTCCTACAGTGTTTTAAAGGGGCCGTTTACACGGCGCGTATTTTGAGTGAATCCGCATCTTTCTCTCTGCGGTTCTGCTGATCATCTACACAACACCAGTGGCCCCCCTCTTTGAATCCAGAGGTTTCTGACCCCACCTTCCAGAGGCTGATAATGTAACATCTCCTGCTGAGGCTTTGTGTTAAACCACATGCGCACACGCACGCACGTACAGACGCTATATTTCTATCAACATGGCGGCGGACACACTGCTTTCAGAACCTCGACTGATGGAATATATTTTTAATCTCGTAGTTAATCTACGTCAGATTCCAGGTGCTGTGACCGACATCTGTGTTGGAAGAGACACAGTCTGATCCAGTTCTAATGTCGCTGTTTATAGAACAAGCCTGTCGAGGCGCGCTGCACTATAACATACTGAATGTGCTAAATAATAAGTTTAATAATAATAAACAGTATTTATGTTAGTGTGAGTGTTATAATGAAACTATCTGGACATTAATTCAAGTTATGTGATTAAAATGATGCTAAACATATTGTGTGTTATTAAAGTTGAAAATGAAGACATCAGGTTTAATTTTTATTTTTTTATTTATTCAACACCACAAACTGTATGTCACACAAACACTGATAATTAAACAGAACACACTATTAAAAACACGTTAACTGTAAACTACATTAATGAACTGGACTCTTGTTTTCATCCTGGACTCTGGTCCCACGTTGTTCATCTGGCTCGTTCAGGCTGTCACTCTTTTGATTAATGCAGCTTAAAATCCATCCATCCATTATCTTTACCCGTTTATTCCATTTTTGGGTCACGAGGGTCGCTGGTGCCCATGTCCAGCAATCACTGTGCGAGGGGCGGGGTACACCCTGGACGGGTCGCAAGTCCATCACAGGGACACATAGAGACAAACGAGACAAACAACCATTCACTTTCTCACTCACACCTAGGGACAATTTAGAGTTACCAATCAGCCTAACATGCATGTTTTTGGTCTGTGGGAGGAAACCGGAGTACCCGGAGAAAACCCACGCATGCACGGAGAGAACATGCAAACTCCACCCAGAAGGCCCCTGGACCGGGGTTTGAACCAGGGACCTGCTCGCTGAGAGGCAGCAGCTCTACCAGTTGCGCCACCGTGCTGCCCACAGCTTAAAATATTGAATGGAATGAATAAAAGAACTGAGGGGAATTTTAAATAAATAGTTCATCCAACATCTCTCTCTTCGACGTCCTCCTGCACTGCACCTGGGCCGAGCCTCCTTCAGAACCGGTCCGCCTGGTGGAAGGACAGCTTCTTCTTCTTTCAGGAAAAATAAAAATAAAAACTCTGTTGTTGTGTGATCAAAGTAAACACAAGCAAACATTATTAAGAACATTTGATTTACCTTCTGTAAAACAGCTACTGATTATCACGGAGTAAAGTCCAACATCGTCGACTGTGTTCTGGTCCACTCAGCGACCGGTGTGGAGCTGTTAGACGAAGCGGTCCTGCTTGGCATCAAATCTGTCGACTCTTATCCAGGATCCAGCTTTAACTTGTTGTTAAGTTGTTGTTAGCTGAACTTTTAGCCCAGAGGAAAGGAGCGGGCCAAGGCAGCACGCATTAGGTGAAGGTACAAAATTCACAGCGCCAACTAATGACCCGGCATGATAACTACAGCGAATTCAGTGGGGGCGGGGGCGATTCCTCCGCATGCTTGTAAACACAAAATCCATCCGTGTCAACGCGGATCTTTTCCTCTAATTAACATATGAAAAAAAACTATGTTTCCCCCCATCGTGTCCGTGTAAATAGGGAGTAAGTTTCATAAAGCTGGAAACAACATTGTTTGTTTTACTGAGATGCAGTGACGCAATGATCAGTCACATATGAGGGGCGGCTGTGGCTGAGTGATTAGAGCAGTCGTCCTCCAATGCGAGAGTTGGGAGTTCGACTCCACCAGCAGTCACATGTTGAAGTGTCCCTGGGCAAGACACTGAACCCCTCATAGCCTCTGATGTGTGTCCCATCAGTGCATGAATGTGATCTCAAGCTCTGATTAGTTTCTTTAGAATGATTTGTTCAATTAGCTTTGTAGAGATCTAGTAGAGAGCTGTGTGGATGGGTAAATGAGGACACAGATTGTAGTGTGAAGCGCTTTGAGTATCTTGAAATAAGATAGAAAGGTGCTATATAAGTACAGTCCATTTACCATTTACCATTTCTCTCTGCTTTATTGTTACCAAGGTTGCTGCTGCTTGTAGTCAGAGCTCATCCAGTTCTTGTTGGTGCACATCAGTCTGTTCTGTGTGTAATTCAACTTTTCTCCAATCAGTCATTTAAGTCTTTGTAGTACAAAGCTGCACACAGGAGTTAACATTGCTTGCGACATTGTTCAGGATATCTAAAGAGCTCAGAGGAGAAAATTAAAAAAATATATCCTAAATTCTCTGTCCGTTCACCTTCTGCCTAAACCTTTAACAAAAGTCGCTTGTGTGGTGTAGTTTCTATGACAGGAAGTCTGCTGTCCACCAGGCTCTGTGTGACAACGTGGACACCCGCACTGCCATGGAGGAGATGAGGGTCCTGGTTGGCCAGAGCAACTCTTACATCGCCAACAGGAAGAGCGCCAAGCTGAGGCCGAACCGCATGCTGCTGGAGAGCATCGCCATGTACATCACCAGCATGCTGAAGGTCTCTGGTTTGGATTTAGTGCTATGCAAAAATTACACTCAGGTATATTTTCCAGTAATCCAGACTTTCCTGAACGCTGAAAATAGTCTTTTGTTGTTTAGATATTCGGTGCAATTGAAGGATCTGAGCCTATAGGTTTTCCTGTGGGAGGACCAGGTCAGAGTGTAGATGTAAGTAGATGCTTTTTCTCCTTTTTTGTTGGAAAAGTGTCATTTTTATCTTAAATATTGTGCTTGTATGATTTGTACTTTATTGGTTTGTGGCAGTTGTTTTAACACGTCTTGATTTTTTTTTTTTTTTTCACAGCTGGAGAGCACGGTGATGCCATACCTCACAGTTCTGTCTGACTTTCGAGAGAATGTCAGGAAAATTGCTCGAGAGCAGAAAGGTAACACTACTCAAATTGTTTTTTTTTTTCTACTTTTATATGTTTTGAAATTAGTTTACATTGACTCGAAACATCCATCCATCAATTCATTCATCTTCCAATTGTTCCAAAGTCGGGTCGTGGAGCCAGACATCTCTCTCCACAGCCACCTCTTCCAGCTCTTCTGGAAGTACTCCAAGGTGTTCCCAGACCAACCAAGAGAAGTAGTCTCTCCAACGTGTCCTGGGTCTTCCCCGGGGTCTCCTCCCAGTCGGACATACCCGAAGCACCTCCCTAGGGAGGCGCCCAGGGAGCATCCTTACCAAATGCCCGAACCACTTTAACTGGCTCCACTTGATGTGGAGGAGCAGCGGTTCTATTCCGAGTCTCTCCTGATAGCTGATCTTCTCACCCTATCTCTAAGGGAGAGTCCAGCTACCCTGCAGAGGAAACTCGTTTCATCCTCCTGTATCCACAATCTCATTCTTTCAATCACTACCCAGAGTTCATGACCACAGGCGTGAGGGTAGGAATGTAGACTGACCGGTAAACAATTCAATTCAGTTTATTTATATAGCACCAGTTAACAAAATTGTCTCAGGGCACTGAATAGAAACATTCGTGTACATAAAAAGCCAATTAGTAAAGTTCTCTATCTAAGGAAGCAGCCGACAAGTTGAATCTTGACTTCGTTGCAGTCTCCCATCCTGAACAAGCACACTGTCAACAGTGGAAAGGAAAAACTCCCTTTTAAAAAAAGAAGAAACCTCCAGCAGAACCAGGCTCAGGACAAGCGGCCATCTGCTTTGACCGGCTGGTTGAGAGGACAGGAAGGAGAGACAAACAAACACAGATTGGCAGGTCCAAATTAGTGTGTGACATTTTTTCAGGAGTCCCACAGGATTCCAGCAGGACCGGAGTCAACTTTATTATTACTCACGTGAGTAATAATTGGGATGGGACGGGATGAAAAGTTAACGGGAGCAGACAGGAGCGGTAACCAATCAGTAGGACAAATGTATTATTTGTTTTGTGCCCTTTAGTGAAGGTTTTTGTTTTGCTTAAAGCAATAAATGCCTCCATATTTCACCACAGATGAACTGTTCCTGTTGCCATATCTTTTTAAATAAAACTGCAGAACACAAAGTAATATAAAAAGGAATGGGTAGAAGATCAAACAAAATTCAATGTGTTTCCTAAAGACTAAATTAAGAAAAAAATGGGAGTGGTACAGGAGTGGGAGTCATTCTGAATGGGAGTGTGATTTTTTTTTCTTCTTCTTTCATTCAACCTTTATTTAAACAGATAAGTCACACTGAGCCTCGAAGATTAATTTACAAGTGAGACCTGTTTGGACAGACAATAAAAAGTGTTGATGGGAGCGGGATTCCCAGGAGATGTTACCAGGAGTGGGGCAGGACAGGATTTTATTTTATTTTTTTAAACTCTGACACGAGATTGGGACGGGACAAGATTTTTTTCTGTTGGAGTGGGACGAGACAAGAGTGAAAATCCACTCCCCTATCATCCGCTAGTCCATATGTAGGTGCAGGTGTACCTGAAAGACAAAAAACATGTCATGGATAGAAAAAATAATTACAAATACAAAACAGGTTGAGCAGAGTAAGTAAAGACAGTAGAATAGTGAAGAAATATGGTCAGTTTGTCCTCCAGCAGTCTAAGCCTACAGCAACATAACTAAGGGATAGCTCAGAAAACCTAAGCCAACCCTAACTATAGGATTTAGCAAAAAGTAAAGTCTTAAGCCCAGTCTTAAAACTGGACAATGTGTCAGCCACATGAACAGAAACTGGAAGTTGGTTCCACAAGAGAGGAGCCTGATAACTGAAATATCTTCCTCTCATTCTACTTTTGGAAACACGGCCAGGACGGAATCCGCATAATCTCTCCTGGATCTGAGGTTCGACCAACGATCGGACTCGCTTCTCCAGTACCCCTGAATAGACCTTACCAGGGAGGCTGAGGAGAATGATGCCCCTATAATTGGAGCACACCCTCCGGTCCCCCTTTTTGAAGAGGGGAACCACCACCCCAGTCTGCCAATCCAGTGGCCCTGCCATTGCTGTCCACGCGACGTTGCAAAGGCGTATCAACCAAGACAGTCCCACAACATCCAAAGGCTTAAGGAAATCAGGGTGAATCTCATCTACTCCCGGAGCCCTGCCGCCGTGGAGCTTTTTAACTACCTCTGCGACCTCAGCCACAGTTATGGACAGACAAATCCCAAAGTACTCAGCTTCCTCCATGGAAGACGTGCCGGTGGGATTGAGAAGGTCCGAGAAGTATTCCTTCCACCTCCCAATGACATCACTGTGTGAGGTCAACAGCACCCCACCTTCACTGAACACAGTGTTAGTAAAGTGCTGCTTTCCCCTCCTCAGCTGCCTGATGGTTTGCCAAAATCTCCTCGGAGCTGACAGAGAATCTTTATCCATGGTCTCACCTAACGCCTCTCATATCCAAGCTTTGCCTTCAGCAACATGCTGCATACCACATGGTGCTCCGGTTCTCCTCAGCTGCATCTGGAGTCCCATCAGTCAACAAGGACTGATAGAACTCCTTTTTCAGCTTGACTGCCTCCCTAACCCGGGGTGTCCACCACCGAGTTTGAGGATTGCCACTGCAAGAAGCACTGACAACTTTGCGGCCACAGCTCAAGGCAGCCACTTCAACTATTGAGTCGTGGAACATGGCCCACTTGTACTCTGTCCCCCATCTCAGCAGGGATGTGGTTAAAGCTCTCCAAAGAAGTGCAAGTTGAAGATCTTTTTGATGGGTTCTTCTGCTAGGCATTCCCAACAAACCCTTACGACACGTTTGGGTCTACTGGGTCTGTCCACCATCTTCCCCCACCATCTGATCCAACTCACTACTAGGTGGTGATTAGTTGACAGCTTAGCTCCTCTCTTCACCCGAGTGTCCAAAACAAATGGCCGTAAATCAGATGACACGACTGCAATGTCAATCATCGATCTACGACCTAGGGCGTCCTGGTGCCAAGTGCACTTATGGGCACCCTTATGTTCGAACATGGTGTTCGTGATGGACAAACAATGACTATCACAGAAGTCCAACAACAGAACACCGCTCAAGTTCAGATCAGAGAGGCCGTTCCTCCCTATCGCACACCTCTAGGTGACATTGTCATTACCCACGTGGGCATTGAAGTCCCCCAGCAGAATAAAGGAGTCCCCAGCTGGCGCACCTTCCAGCAATCCCGTCAAGGACTCCCATGAAGGCCGGATACTCTGAACTTCCGTTCGGTGCATAGGCACAAACAAAAGTCAAAGCCCATCCCCCCACCCAAAGGTGCAGGGAAGCCAGCATCTTTTCTACCAGGGAAAACTCTTAACACACAGGCACCAAGTCGGGAGGCTAAGAGTAGACTCACACAAGCTCAGTGCCTCTCACCATGGGCATCACCAGAGTGGAATAAGGTCCAGCCTCTCTCAAGGAGATTGGTTCCAGAGCCCATTCTGTGCATCGAGGTGAGCCCAACTAAATCTAGTCAGTACCTCTCAACCTCATGCACAAGCTCAGGCTCCTTCCCCAGCAGAGAGGCTACATTCCATGTCCTAAGGGCTAGCTTTGGTAAGCCAGAGTCAGAGTGCCAAGGCCTCTGCCTTCGGCTACTGCCCATGGCATCATGCACCTGACATTTGTTTCTCCTCCTGCAGGTGGTGGGTCCACAGGAAGACACCCCATGTTGCTCATGGTGGCTGTGGCTGTGTGGTTAGAGCAGTTGTCCTCCAATGCAAGAGTTGGGGGTTCTAATCCAACAGCAGTCACATGCCGAAATGTCCCTGGGCAAGACACTGAACCCCTCATTGCCTCTGATGTGTGTCCCATCAGTGTATGAATGTGATCTCAAAGCACTGATTAGTCTCTTTAGAATGATTTGTTCAATTAGCTTTGTAGAGATCTAGTAGAGTGCTGTATGAATGGGTAAATGAGGACACAGATTGTACTGTAAAGCGCTTTGAGTATCTGGATAAGATAAAAAAACGCTATATAAGTGCAGTCCATTTACCATTCATTCAGGCTGAGCCTGACCTGGCCCCATGGGTAGCAACCCGGTCACCAGGTTATCGCCAACGAGTCAACTCATTAACTCAAAACACTTGCAAAGGCCTTTAAATGATCTCTCAAGGATTCAAGGTTCTTTGTCATTCGCACTACATATGGTACATGTGGTGGAATGAAATTGTGTACACAGGGTTCCAGTTACATCCAACAAAAGTATGAAAATGTAAAAGAAAAACAGTAATAAGATCTAAGATATGAACTAAGAAAAACATTAACTAAAAACACTCTAAGCACTAGTAGCATAAAATCAATATGCAGCACGAACATGAGTCTGTGTGAGCAGATGAATGTGAATGAACACAGCAACATGAAGTCTAGTTCTGAAGTTCATGAAGTCAGTCTAGTTCTGTAGGCTACACAATCATGGGGAAGACTATTGACTTCACAGTTGTCCAAAAGACAACCGTTGACCCCTTGCACAAGGAGGGCAAGACACAAAAGGTCATTGGTAAACAGGCTGGATGTTCACAGAGCTCTGTGTCCAAGCACATTAATAGAGAGGCGAAGAGAGGGAAAAGATGTGGTAGAAAAAAGTGTAGAGATAACTGCACCCTGGAGAGGATGGTGAAACAAAACCCATTCCAAAATGTGGGGGAGATTCACAAAGAGTGGACTGCAACTGAAGTCAGTGCTTCAAGAACCGCCACGCTCAGACGTATGCCAAGACAAGGGGTTCAGCTGTCACATTCCTTATGTCATGCCACTCTTGAACAAGAGACAGTGACCGAAGCGTCTCGCCTGTGGTAAAGACAAAATGGACTGGACTGCTGCTGAGTAGTCCAAAGTAATGTTCTCTGATGAAAGTAAATTTTGCATTTCCTTTAGAAATCAAGGTCCCAGAGTTTGGAGGAAGAGAGGAGAGGCACAAAAGTCATGTTGTTTGAGGCCCAGTGTCAAGTTTCCACAGTCACTGATGGTTTGGGGTGCCATGTCATCTGCTGGTGTTGGTCCACTGTGTTTTCTGAGGTCCAAGGTCAACATAGCTGTCTACCAGGAAGTTTTAGAGACTTCCTGCTGCTGACCATTCATTCATTCATTCAACCTTTATTTAGATAGGTAAATCCCATTGAGCCTCGAGGACTCATTTACAAGAGAGACTTGATTTCAACAAAGAATGATGACAACAATGGACAACAGCAACAACAGTAAACGGTTATAAAAAGTCATACTCCAGTTTTGTTTTTTTTTTGTTTGTTTGTTTTTGTTTTTTTTTTTTTACAAATAGGATGGCTAAATGAAAAAGGTAACAAAAGACCAGCTAGATTCTAAGGCAAATGTAGAAAACTAAAAACAGGAACATGTCTGCATTGGTCCCTGCCAGGAGTTCAACAGATTCTTAAAGCCACTTAGAGAGGTCAAGGTCGAGAGCTTCAATTGATTTTGTAAGAAATTCCAGAAAACAGGAGCGGAGTAGGAGAAGGCCCTCTTGCCTAGTTCAGTCCTCATTGAGGGAACACTGCAGGTAATAATGTCCTGAGAGCGCACGCCGTAGCTGCACTCATGCAGAGACATGTAGGAGGAGATGTATGAAGGCAACAGACCAAGAAGTGATTTAAAGATGAAAATGTACCAGTGAGAGAGTCTGCGAGAAGTTAATGATGTCCAGTTAACCAGTGAATACTGGGTGCAGTGGTGGGTACGATAATCACAGCCAGTTATGAATCTTAGTGCACCATGATAGACAGCATCCAACATCTGCAGGGTGCTTGTAGGAGCGTTCATGTAAATGTCACTGTAATCAATTGAGGGAAGGAAAGTCACAGATACAAGGTGTTTTCTAGCATTCAGGGTTAGACAGGATCTGTTTCTGAAAAAGAAACCCAGTTTAACTTTCAGTTTCTTTACCAAGTTTTCCACATGGAGCTTAAAAGAGAGATGCGTGTCGACCAAGATACCCAAATATTTATAGGACTCAACAAACTCAATGGGGACACCATTTGAGGATAAAATCGGAGGAAGAACTGCTGGGACCAACTTCCTATTTGAAAAAAGCATCCCTTTGGTTTTGTCGGCATTTAGGACAAGTTTGAGGCAGAACAAATCTGTCTGGATGTTGTTGAATGCAGATTTCAAAAGCTGGAAAGCCTTAGCAACAGTTTTAGCTCGACATTAAACAACTGTGTCATCAGCATAGGAATGTATGGATGCATTAGGGATGTTTTTACCTACATTATCTATGTAGATTGTAAAGAGGATGGGTCCTAAGACTGAGCCTTGTGGTACACCATTGTTGACTGTTAAATTACTGAAGGAAGTACCATTTTGTTGAACACATTGCTTCCGGTCTGAAAGATAATTAGAGAACCAACCAATGGTGTGTTCTGAGAAACCAATTTCTGAGAGCTTATGACACAAGATGTTATGATCTACAGTGTCAAAATCTTTAGACAGGTCTAAGAAAAGTGCAGCACAATAATCCTTAGCATCCAGTGCTTCAACAACATCATTAAGAACCTTCAGTGAAGCAGTGGTTGTGCTGTGTTGTTTCCTGAAACCAGATTGATGTGGAGGTAAGATGTTAAATGAGTCCAGGTAATTTTTGATTTAAGAGTTTATCAGTTTTTCTAGAACCTTGGCTAAAATGCAGAGTTTAGAGATTGGTCGATAGTTGTTCAGTGAGGTGGGGTCACCTCCCTTCAGCAAAGGAAGAACAAAGGCTGTTTTCCAAGTGTCTGGGATGGAGTTTTGTCTTATGGAGAGATTGAAGATGTGGGTCACAGGGACTGTGATGATATGAGCAGCCAGCCTTAAGAAATAAGGTGGAAGTTCATCTGGACCTGCAGATTTTTTAGGATCAAGATCTTTTAACAGTTTATTGACCTCATTGACTGAGAACGGAGAAAAAGAGAAGCTGTGATTAACTGAGGATTGACTTGTAGGAGGGATTTGATTTGTAGAAGTTTGGTTATTAAGTGAAGTGGCTGATTTTCCATTAGTGACTGTGTCAAATAAAGAACTCGAAGCAACAAAATGTTTGTTGAAACAGTTCAGGATCTCGTGCTTATTTGACACAGGAACAGAGTTAACGAGACCAACTTTATGGAGATTCAGATTTCATTGTCCAACAGGACTTGGCACCTGCAAACAGTGCCAAAGCTACCAGTACCTGGTTTAAGGACCATGGTATCCCTTTTCTTAATTGGCCAACAAACTCACCTGACCGTAACCCCATAGAAAATCTAGGGGGTATTGTGAAGAGGAAGATGTGATACACCAGACCCAACAATTCAGAAGTGCTGAAGGCCATTTGAAATATATACCATACCATACCAATTTATTTATATAGCACTTAAAACATCAACAAGGCCAACCAAAGTGCTGTACAAAAGAAAACAAACATGCACAGCGGACAGGAAAACATAAAATAAAAATACAGATACAAATAGCAGCAGAAGCTAACTAAAATGGCCAACAGTGTAGAGAACAGACAGGACCAAAACAAATCACACCGTGTTAAAGGCAAGAGAATAGAAGTGGGTCTTCAAGCGAGACTTAAAGACTGAGAGTGTGGGAGCCTGCCGGACACTCAGTGGCAACTCATTCCACAGTCGTGGACCTGCAACAGAGAAAGCCCCGTCACCTCTGAGCTTACGACGGGTTTCTGGGACTGAGAGAAGCATCTGGTCTGCTGACCTCAGAGAGCGCGGTGGGACATATGGCTGCAGAAGATCAGTGAGATAGGATGGGGCGGAACTGTTCAGTGATTTAAAAACATACATGAGAATTTTGAATTGGATCCGAAGGTGAATGGGTAGCCAGTGCAGGGAGGCCAAAACAGGCGTGATGTGCTCTCTATAGCCTGTACCAGTTAAAAATCGGGCTGATATCAGTCTGTGTGTAATGAATGAATGAATATAATATACAAGTTTCATTTTTTGAATGGAATTACTGAAATAACGCAACTTTTTTCATGATATTCTAATTTTATGACCAGCACCTGTATATTGTCCTTGTCTATGGAATCGCTCTTTGCCTGGCCTGACTTGAAACATGAAGAAAAAAGTGTACGATGTAAAAAGCAAAAGTGGAAAGTTGTGATGTACATTTACTCGTGTTAATGAAATTTAGTAGGATTTTTCTGTATTTGGCAGTTTTAAAAATCTGTCTTTGTATCTGGGATGTTTTGTTGTTGTTTGTTTTAAATACTTTTACTTCATTAAATTTAAACTAAGAATGTGAATGTACAATTGTAAATTAAAAAGAAAAAAGAGCATCCTAATGTCTGCAGTGACTGGGTCTGATGTAATGAAAGCTGAAATCTCCAAATTCTTCAGTGACAGAGTTGCTTGGGGTCTGTGACGTCATCCGTGACGATACGTTACCAGAACTGGGAGTTCGACTGGAGGATCATGAAGGTAACTCAACTGTGAAATGACAAGTCTCTGCTCTATATGCAAAAACAAAACCCATTTATTTTGTTATTTTATGCAACCAAATACATTAGAAAAAATTTAGTTTTCTTCTGCTCTTTAAGCAGAAAAAAACCCACAGGTTTTGAAAGACAGGAAGTCTGCTGAGCTAGCATTATTCAGACTCCTAATTCAGGATGGTTAAATAAAGGGGAATTAACTGATGGACTTTGTTGCAGGTCTACCCACTGTGGTGAAACTGGTGGACAAGGAGATGTTACTGAAAGAGAAGGAAGAGAAGAAGAAGGTGAGGAGAACATCATCTTGATTTTAGATCAGGGCTGATGACTTTTATTCTGCACACGAGGTGCACAGGTCTACAGAAATTGACCAATGAGCGCAGAGCATAGGCATTGCATCAATTATATGTGAAGGAGATGCGTCCCCCTCACATTTAAAAAGTATTTGTTTGGACCTCCTCCCTTCCATAGACACACACACTCACATTTACCATAAAATGTTTGTTCACCCAGCGCTTTTTCTTTTTCTTTGTGAACAAATCCATTCCAGTTGATCAGTAGGATGCTCAAACCACTAAAAGTCCACTCCAGGTCTTCCTGGTTACCTACAACTCCTCACCGTGTGCACACTCTTTGTCACTTGCCTTGGCAGGGCATCATCTCTTCTGGGTTTATTGTTGATGGGACAGGGGGAGGAGTGGGAGACACCTATGTTCGTGCTGGCAGTCATTGACCGGGCGTGAAGGTGGGGCACATTGTGCCGTGCTCTCTATAATAGTTGTTGAATCAGGTGTTTATTTATGTAGGTAAACATAGAAGTTTAAAAACCTGTTAAAATACACCAGACTGCAGGAAATGGCATCTACTTTATTCAAAAATTTGGGGGGGATCCTGAATCCACCGGATTAGGTGGATCCACTGGTCCTCCCACCAGTGCGTCCCCTCCACATTACAAATGCTTCTGACACCAATGGCGCAGTGAAGATGCCATCTTGAAGAAGTCCTCTTAAAGGCACACGGCTTTGTAAACAATGTTGAGTACTTACAAAGTGAAGAGTCTCTGTGGTTAAGACGAGCCCAGTCTTACATGCACTCTATAATACAACTTCAGAGACACTGTTGTAAAAACAGTTAAAATAGTTGTCAAAATGTTCTTTGTTTTCAGTAAATGGTGGCTCCACTGTTTCGTGATGTTTTGCATCTGTAATAGGGGTGCACCGATAAATCGGCCCTGATTTCCTTAATTTTGGGAAATCGGAAATCAGCCGATACTTACATGAGAAACTGATTTTACAGATTTTTTTGTTGTTTTTGTTTTAACAACAATTGTCTGAACTTCATTTATATTTCAGAGCACTGCCTCGTGGCCAGTTAAAACAAGTCTGTATTGTTTCTAAGATATTGTTCAGGGGTATGTTTTTCATTAAAATAAGATTGGAAAATAGAAGGTGCATTGTGACCTGATAACACCTGACAGTGTCACTTATAAAACCAAATCGGTATCAGCCAAAATCAGAATCGGCAGGTCAGACTTTTTAGAAATCGGTGATCAGCCAGAAAACTGCAGTCGGTGCACCCCTAATCTGTAACTCTGAGTGCTGTCCACAGTCGCCGCATTTCCTTTATACTCTGCTGTGCAAAACCAGTTTTCAGAAGTTGGCCATGATTTGACAACAGCTTGGTTGTTGTTAACTCAGCCTACAAAATGTGATAGTCACATTGTTGAAGCATCTTACTTTAACAGACTAACATCAAGACTGCCAGCTTTTACACTACTGAGTGTAGGAGAGCAATATCAATATAATGGTGATTAAAATAACGTGCAAGAACTTCATGTATCTTCTCATTAGAGCTGTCATTTCTAACCTGGTCCCTAAGCTCGGCCTTGCCCGACCTCTGCGCCACCACTCCCCTAGTAGCAGCATCTACAAAAGCTGAAGCGAGCAGCGCGTTCAATTAAATTAACCTTGTTCTATGTTTATCCAAATAATTTAGCTCTAAAAATATTTTTGTTCATCTGTATATTGGCCCATCTTTAGAGGTGATTCTTTTAGGCTCTTCGTTTTGTATGTTAATATCCTTTTGGTGAAACAAGAAATCTTATATCTTCCTTTCTTTGAAGTAAGTTTTTAAAACTATCGTGTCAAACTAATTTGCTTACAAAAGCAGTAAAACTTAAATTGAACAAAAACTTTTTTTTCAGGTTTGGGCCTGTAATTAAAGTTAATCCGTCAGTTTCGGGTCGGGCTCAGATAAAATGATACAGGTTTGGGCGGAGCTGGATTATTTAGGGCCGAATCACATGCAAAGCTCACTAAGATTATTTATCCAAAACCATGCAATGTCTGGACATTTTTCTTCATGATTACTGCAAGCAAATGCTGCGCAGTATGAAGGCGTTGCAGAAACACGGTAGCATGTCGACAGATTATATGTCATTGATCAGGGCTTTTCAAGGTGTGTGGCACCCCAGTTCTTCAGTGTGTGTGTGTGGGGGGGGGGGGGGGGGGTGCGAAACTATAAACCAGAAAAAGTGAGTGTAGTGAACTAGGCCTCCGACAACAATCTGTCTCTGAAGACCTTCATGGGACAGGAACTGTTATTTCAATGATTTGAATCCAGAAATACAAATTAGCTCATCCAGAGACTTTCTAATTGTATCCTGAATTAATCAATTGAAAGAACACTTTTCTTTTATATTATCATTATTATTTTACAATATCTTGATAATCAAAAGTGTGCTTAGTTCATATCATTTCTAATGTTGAAGTGAACTACTCATTTAAATCAACTGTGAAACAGTATTAATGATTTTTAAACCTCATTTAAATTAGAAATCAAGTTAAATGTCTATTTACAAAGTAATTATGCATTTTGATCTTCTGTCTGAATGAGAAGTCAGTGATGTCGGTTGAAAGTCAGAGACAGTCAGAAAACAAGTTATTAGAACGAACTGTATTGTTTTTAAACCTAGCAGACGATAAAAAGAAACAACTGGCATCTGCGTTTGTCTCACTTCGCCATAACATTTCTCTGTCTGTACTAAACGTTCCTAAACATTCCTGCATCCTCTCTTGACTTTTAATAACCCTCTGACATCACTAGAACCACCCCCTGTTGGTTGTTTCAACCAATCAGGAAGTACTAAGTGACCGAAAGTGAGGACTCTTTAAAAGTCAACACTTCCTGGAACTATTCAGTCTTTGACCGGAGTCTTCTTGGGTCTTTCATGGAGTCTTCTTGGATTATTCCACTTCTGAGTGGAATCTCTGATGGAGTCACAGCGCCTCGCTGTGAACTCACCCAGGCGTAACGCCCTACAACTTCAAAGGAAGCTTGTCTGTTGGACGGAGTAAATCGTCACGACTTCTGACAATGCCAGCCACCCTGACCGGAGACGCTGGAAAGGTAGCATTGAAATGGACCCTGTACCGCAGTTGATTTATCTTCTACAAAGGTAAGAAGTCGTCACGCACCGAGTGTACCGGGGGTTTGAGCTGGTGTTGAAAGAAGCATGCTAATTCTGGTCAACAAAACATACATCTTTCCTTTATCCATCTCCTCTTAAACCTCTAAATCTCTCCTCTTGTAAACCTTTTCGCCAGTAAATCAATCTAGATGCCTTCAGAAATGTTCTGTTGTCTTGTTAGTAAAGCGTGCCAAGTTTTTATTAATCAGAACCAGATCAGCAAATCAAGTGTACAATGTTTTGATGTTAAATTTTGATTCTGTTAAATAAATGACCGCATTTATTCTGATGGGTCAAAGAAAAATAACATCTCATGTCACTGATTAAACAATCCTCACAGTTATCTCGTCACATGGCATTAATTTAACTCGAAAAAGAAAGAACCCGTTGTATTTAAATAATTAATATTCTTCTGACTGAGTCACAGCATTAAGAATAATTAATTAGTAGTGAAGCGATAGTTAAGCTGTCCCCCACATTTCACTACATGAGAGAAAAGGAAGAAAGGAGTTGAGGTGTTGCGAGGCAATGAAGAAAATGTAAATTTAAATGTTTTTAAATGCTTTGTTTTGTTTTTTGTTTTTTTTTAATGTCCAGAGGACCAGATTGAACTTTTTTCGATTTTTCTACCTGGATTACTGAGCATGCATCAGGGTAAATTTAAATGGACTATACAAACCAGATTCTAAAAAAGTTGGGACACTAAACAAATTGTGAATAAAAACTGAATGCAATGATGTGGGGATGGCAAATGTCTATTTTATTCGTAATATAACGTAGATGACAGATCAAAAGTTTAATCTGAGTAAATGTAACATTTTAAAGGAAAAATATGTTGATTCAAAATTTCACAGTGTCAACAAATCCCCAAAAAGTTGGGACAAGTAGCAATAAGTGGCTGGAAAAAGGAAATTGAGCATATAACGAACAGCTGGAAGACCAATGAACACTAATTAGGTCAATTGACAACATGATTGGGTATAAAAAGAGCTTCTCAGAGTGTCAGTGTCTCTCAGAAGCCAAGATGGTAAGAGGATCACCAATTCAACCATTGTTGCGCAGAAAGAGAGTGCAGCAATACCAGAATGGTGTTACCCAGCATAAAATAGCAAAGATTTTTAAGTTATCATCATCAACCGTACATAACATCATCAAAAGATTCAGAGAATCTGGAACAATCGCTGTGTGTAAGGGTCAAGGCCGTAAAACTCTACTGGATGCTCGCGATCTCCGGGCCCTTAAACGTCACTGCATCTCAAACAGGAATGCCACTGTCAAGGAAATAACAGAATGGGCTCAGGAATATTTCCAGAAAGCATTGTCAGTGAACACAATCCACCGTGCCATCCGCCGTTGCCAGCTGAAACTCTACAGTGCAAAGAGGAAGCCATTTCTAAGCAAGCTCCACAAGCTCAGACGTTTGCACTGGGCCAGGGGTCATTTAAAATGGAGTGTGGCAAAATGGAAGACTGTTCTGTGGTCAGATGAGTCACGATTTGAAGTTCTTTATGGAACACTGGGACGCCATGTCATCCGGACCAGAGAGGACAAGGATAGCTAGCCCAAGTTGTTATCAACGCTCCGTTCAGAAGCCTGTATCACTGATGGTATGGGGTTGCATGAGCGCTTGTGGCATGGGCAGCTTGCATGTCTGGAAAGGCACCATTAATGCAGAGAACTATGTTCAGGTTCTAGAACAACATATGCTCCCATCTAGACGTCATCTCTTTCAGGGAAGACCCTCCAGACTAATCATAGATTTAATGGTTGAAGCACAGACCCTTGGTCAATGGCCAAAACTACAACACAGCCAACTTA